CGGGCGACATCCAGGCGACATCTTGCGGGCTGCCACTCATGTGCCACCGCGTCGACCCAACTCTGCGCACGGGGGTTGGCATTTATGTTTCCGGCCGTAGGGAGGCGGGGTTGGGGGCGGCTGTTCTATTTATATGTAGCCGGTCGCTTGCTACAGGGAGAGGGTGGGTCGCTCGCGGGAGGGTGTGCGAGGGGGCGGGGCGCGGGGGCGGAGGCTTTGGAGAAAGGAACGGGGGAGACTGGCGCAGACACAATGGCACATGGCATTCGATCTCCATGGGTCCGCGCGGGCACGGGGAAGGTACGGGGGAAGAAGAAGGAGCAGCCGGGACACCTCGCCCCCAAACAGGCCTCCGCGCTGACGTCATCGGCCCGGGGGAGCGGAGGGGGATGGGGTGGGGGTGCGAGGGCAGAGGGTTGCCAACCTCCAGGGGGGAGGGGAACGAACGTCATTAGACAGATCCTCATGCATCATCCGGGTTGCGGAAGCACGGCAGACCGGCTAACAAAACTCCCTTGCCTCTTCCATGAGAAGTAACAAAAACAACAACAGAACCGAGACCGATTTAAATTGCTCCCGCAAATGATACCTCGCCTACACCCAAGTGATTGTTTTTTGTTTTTTTTTTTCGCACCCCTTGGTTCGCGAGGTTGCGGACCAAGTACGCCCTGCACGCGCCGAATGGTCGCGATCCGCCAACCATTACCGAGAAGGCCCGCCGGGGACGACCGGAAGGAGATAAGATTGGCGGGCTCCTATATCGCGTCCTCCCAGAGGGCGAGGGCCGGCCGGTCATCATCCACTTCATTTATCGCGTTTTGAAGGGAGTGGCCGTTGCGCTCTCGACTCGCGGCGCGGCCGCCCTTTCCCCGGCGGCCCCTATCCGTCCCACCCCAGCCCACCACCCGGCCCGACCCCTACCCCTCTACCCCATTGCGACGGCCCTTCCCTCCGCCCCACCCGCCTCCGCCACTCCGCTCGCCTTGCTAAGCGGCGCGTCGGCTATCGATCGGCGGGGCCGGGGCGCCTCCAACCACCCGGAGCGCTCGGGGCGCGACCGAGCGCCGCCGAGCGGACGCCGAAGCCGGAGCCGAGCGAGGCCATGTACACACCACGAAGCTCACGGGGTGGCTGGCATGGCAGGGGCGCAACTGTGCTACGCAATACACAAACACAATACGCAGCAGCCCACGCGGCCACCTCCCCCGGAACGGTCAATTATGATGAAGCCAACTCGAGCAGAAACGGCGTAAACAATATTTAGGTGCTCCCCCTGGCCGGGCCGGGACCGAGCAGCGAGCAGAGATGAATAATTTGGTGTTGGAGTACGGAGGGGCACGGAGGAGGGGTTCGCGATCGGTGCCCAGACACTCACGCTGTTCCTCTCTGTCCCGCAGGATATCGCCTTCATCAACCCCGCCAACGTCGTGTTCGTGTACATGCTGGTGCGCGAGCTGGTGGACGAGGACGTGAGCTCGGAGCAGGACCTGCAGGCCGTGGTGCTGACGTGCCTGTACCTCTCGTACTCGTACATGGGCAACGAGATCTCGTACCCGCTCAAGCCTTTCCTCGTAGAGCAGAGCAAGGACGCCTTCTGGGACCGGTGCCTCGACATCGTGTCCCGACTGTCCAGGGACATGCTCCGCATCAACGCAGAGCCGGGCTTCTTCACCGAGATCTTCACCGAGCTCAAGATGTGGGGTATCAACAACGCGCTGGGCCTGCACCTCGTGCACACCCACCACACCGCCGGCCACCAGCCCGCACGGCCGCACCAGCCACCCAGCAGGCCCAAGACGTCGCCGACGAGACTCCCGAGCACTAAGCCGCCGGCGCCCCAGCCGCCCGGACAGTCGTCGGGGCAGACGCCGAGCCAACCCCCCGCCCAGCCCCAGCCCGTGGCCCGGGTCGAGCACAAGGAACCACAGCACACCGAGTCCAAGACTTCGAGGCCACCCTTGCCGCTGCCGCTGACTGAGGCGTGGGAGGACGCCTCACCCGACGAGAACCACAACCCCAAAACTGCCACCCTCGCGAACCTACGGGTCTGCGAGGACGACAACGGCAACCCTGCAGAACAAGCTCCAAGGGTGCCGGCGACGGACTCGGCACCGACACCCGAGAACGAGGACCCCGTCGCCCTGTCCGACAAGGAGAACGACAATGTCGTCCTCGCCCGGGCCACGAACGCCGCTCCAGCACAAGTCAAGCCCGTCGCGGTGGGTGAGCTGAACGGCGAGGGCACGACAGCTGCTTGACCGGGCGAGGAGCCCCAGCCCCAGGTCAGGCCCCCCCAGGCCCAGCCTCTCAGGGGCCATTCCACTCTGCTGGTCAAACTGGCGCTCGCCAAGTCCCGGCGCTGCCAGCAGTACGTGACGACCCTCTGAGGGTGGCCCGCTGGTGGCCCGCCCTGGGTGGGTCGGGCGGGGCACGCGGCGCGACGGGGCTGGAGGACTCATGTGCCAAGCGCACGCTAGCCAGTGTGACGTGACCACGCCCTGTATGCCCTCATCTGTCTCGTGTTGTGATGTGAAGTGAATGTAGTTTGTGCTATATGCCCCCTATCGATTCTTTCATCAACGAGAGGGATCGTTTTCTGTTGTTAATTCTCATCGTGATCGTAATTTGATATTACCCGAGCAGTAAAGATATACGTAGTTATTGTTTGTGCAAAAATTTACCGCTTCTTTCCTTTAGGTTGCTCTAGACAGAGACCCGCGTATGTAAACGTTACCAGACGCTGATGTTATTTTGATAGGGTACTGTATTCGAGGCCGAGGCACGTTGTTTCTGATATTATT